ACGGAATCGTGGGACGAAATTTTTTTAACAAATTCTTTAGACGAAGCTACAAATTTATTAATACACAAAATTCAAAAAGTAATTGAAGTTAGTACTAATAAGGTTAAAATAAGTCACAAGGAAAAAAGCAGAAATGATTGGATGACCAAAGGACTAATAAAATCTGCAAACGAAAAAGAAAGACTGTATAAAATCATGAAATATTTGCCCACGAAAGAAAATATAGATCATTATAATCAGTATAAAAACAAATTTATAGAACTTTTGAGAAAAGCAAAAAAAAATTACTATATAAAACAATTGAATAATAATTCACATGACTCTAGACACCTATGGTCCACTGTCAATGATATATTCAATAAGTCATCCTATTCAGAAAACAATATTAATGAAATAAAAACAAAAACAGGACAGAAAACAGACAATATTCAGCAAATATGTGATGAGTTCATAGAGTTTTTCACGAATATAGGAGGAAACTTAGCAAATAATATCAAACAAAATGTTGATATTCATCTGCATGAAACAAGACTAAATAATTCATTTGTATTAACTGAAGTAGACTATCAGGATGTTTTCAATGCCATTATGACTCTAAAAAATAAAAAAAGCCCTGGAGTTGACGAAATTAGAGCTGAACATCTAAAGATACTGGCCAAACAAATAACAGAACCACTTGCTTATATCATTAACAAATCCTTCCAATCTGGAGTATTTCCATCAGCTTTCAAGACAGCAATCATCATACCTATCTATAAATCTAATGATAATACGGACGTCACTAACTATCGACCTATTTCACTTATATCAAGTTTAGCTAAAGTTTTTGAGAAATTACTCCTTAATAAAATGATTAATTTTCTTAATAAATTCAAAATTCTAAATTCAAATCAATATGGTTTTATAGGGGGCAAATCTACAACAGATGGGGTATTAAGTATAGTAGATGAAATAACCCAAAATATAGATGGAAAAGTACCATCGATATGCGTATTTGTGGACTTACAAAAAGCGTTTGACACAGTTAACCACAATATACTTTTGGAAATCTTAGAAAGAATAGGTTTTCGTGGAAAGATGTATACTTTAATGGAAAATTATTTATCAAATAGACCGCAATCAGTAAAATTATTAAGCTCGTATAGTAAAGAAATGTTTGTTAAATGTGGTGTTCCACAAGGTACAATTTTGGGTCCTCTGTTATTCAATATTTATTTAAACGATATATTCAAAATTAACAGTACCTACTGGTAAAATAGTCAGTTTTGCAGACGATACTGCTATACTCTATAAAGGTAAGGATTGGAACGACTTAAAAGATATTATCCAAAATGACTTTTGCAAAATTATTCAGTGGTTTAATAACCGAAAATTAACAATTAACTTTACTAAAACTCATTTTTTACCATTTTCATCACTATCTAATCATCTACCAAAATATAACCACCTTCGGTTTAAGGTAAATGATGAAAATATAAAAATCACTAGAGTTAATGATACAAAATATTTAGGAATTTATCTAGATCCCCACTTGAGATGGGATGTACATATTTCTCACATACTAAAGAAAATTAGATTCATAGCATATAAAATAAAATTTCTAACCGGTATATTAACTGAATATTATCTACGAATAATATATCAAGCTTTAGTCGAGCCACACATAACATATGGTATAGTAGTGTGGGGTGCTGCATGCACGACATACTTTAACGATTTAGATGTACTTCAAAGAAGAATTTTAAAATCAATGTTAGGCAAATCAAAATTATACCCAACTAATGACTTATATAATGATGCACAAGTATATGACACTAAACAACTTTACTTCTTACATACCATCACTCATTATCACAAAACTATTAGTGAACACGACATAATTAAACATAATCATAAAACCAGATATAAATTACGCGCAAAAAACGTTCCTAAACCAAACAAATCCCTAATGAAACGATGTCACCTGTATATAGCTCCAAAATTGTACGAACATTTACCAAATAATTTAAAACAATTACGCAATACATTAGGCTTCAAAAAAAAAATTAAAAAAATTTATTAACACGATTGGGAGAAATCAAATTAATAAAATAATCTCAAATATTACACAATAAATGCTCTACCATTCTTACCAATAATTTCTTTTTTCTCTCTATTTTATTATATTTTGCAATTCAACATACATATGATCCGTGCACAGGCGTTGTCCTCCTATGGATATATTATATTTATTTACTCGTTTCATGTTCCCTGTATTTTAGAGTAAATAAATATTATTATTATTATTATAGCTTCACAAAATCAGTCTGAAATATAATAACTTGTTGAAAGTGTTATTCGCAGGGGTATTCAAATAATAAATATTTCCACATTGCATTGTGACATTTATGGGTAATCTAAGCCGCAGCATTGTTATCTGAAGGTCGAAAATTTCGCACTCTCTTCGGACAGTAATAATATGGGAAATAAAAATGCATTTAATTCTTTCCAGTAAAAAATCGTAGAAGAATTTAGATACAATGTTGCAAAACAAACGGTTCAGTAAACTGTGATATTTGAAAATAGTTATTGTTTAATTGAAGGCTTGAAGCGTGACGAGCGGGCGTGATAAATAATCCTTGTATTAGCACAGTCAAAAAGATATCGGCTCAGGTAACTGAATAAACGGGTTTTATGAGGGATTTTGCTGGGAGATCTGATAAAAATTACAGTCAATCCCTTAATATAAATACATCCGTCATAATGCAGAATGTTCAGAATTGGGATTTGATTCCAATTGCGAGGACGAACAAATGGCGTCAATTAGGTTGACCCTGCACTTCCTACACAGCGCCGTCAACAGTTCATGAAGGTTTAAGTTCAGGGCAAGATAAACCTTCTGAGAGAAAAATGAGTTACAAACATGTATCGTAGGAACATTAAACCAATCAAGTCAGTCAAACAGGCCTATACAATATTAGTCCATTTCCCGGCCCTACCGGTAGTTACTGCCCATTTAGCAAAAAATTGATTGAAACGTCAAAAAACGAAGTTTGAGCAATTTGTATACTTTTTGCTTATGGCCTTTTTCTCCGCTGCAACTGAACCAATTTTCAAAAGCTGAAGCTTCGTCCTTGTGTTTAAAACATTTTGTCCAAACTGAGCAATACTTTACAAGTTATAGACGAGTCAAGGATTAGCGCACAGAGGCAGACAGACATACAAACACTTTCACTTTTTATAGCGGGTGATCACAAGTGTAGGTTTGTTGGCTATTTATGCACTTTTTGTGAGCGTTCCGATTTTAGTTATAAAAGATTTTCGATGTCGTTGATAAAAGAAATTAGCAAGATTAATGGCTAAAGAATACCCAAGTGAAAAACGACATCTCAGCCTGTTTTTGTTTTTTATGTCAAAAGCTTATTTTTTGTCCATAGCTCATGAACCAATTGTAGTTTCCTGCTTTTTGGATATAATGGGAAAAAGGGGATCCATTGGCAATATGTTTTACTTCTCACCTCAAAAGGAGAAAGTTGATCTCAAATTTCTCTGAATTTGTGGTAATACATTCGGTGGATATTTTAAGGTCTCCACCACGGAAATCTGGCACACGTTTATTTTTGCGCGTTTCTATCTGCCCGTAATCGCAGACGCACATATGCAGAATTTCGATCCGGATCACCGTCTCAGCTATTCCGAATCGAATTACTTTGACTTGGAATATTAGTGCAGTGGTGGCATAAACAAAAGAATCTCAAAATAAACACCGTGTTCAAAAATTGTTTAGAATATTTAAGTTTTCGAAAATTTGGAAATAGTTTCTTAGAGATTGAGATTAAAAGTACAGACTTCGTTTTTTGAGCTTGTGATCACTTGAAATATTGCCTAAAATTTAAGGAGTTTCTTTTCAATTTGGAATGTTAGTTGTTACTAGTCGCCTTCATCTACATTACAGTGGTTTCTCTGATATTGCTCATAACTGAATTGAATCATCTAATACCCAGAAACATTTTAAAAAATTGTGCTGCAGGGTATGCTGAAACTAGCGATGTTATGTTTTTCCACCAATGAGTAATATATAGTATATCAGGTAAACAAGCAAATTTGTAACAAGGCTTTTATAAATACAGACTAATTACACCTAGTGTTGTGTTGCTTTCACAGAGATGTTTATTACCTGCCCATTTGTTCTTAACAGTGCTACACCGCAGGTAGGGGTAGGGGTTGATATGTGGCTGAATGTAGGGTATTTGGGATTTCAATGTTCAGTCAAAAAAATCTTGAGTACAAATCGTCGAAATGAACCATTCAAGTAGAGTGAAACATTATACTCGAAATTAAGATAATCACTGACATTTAGCCACAATGTGTTTGAAAATTAACAAAATGTATGCTCCATTTCCGATTTTCACTACAAACATCAACAAATCTCTGTATGTAGCTGGTATAACAATTTACAAATAATCTTTATATTGCTAGCATATACAGATAACAAAATATTTTCAAGAAAAGAGACACATTTATATAAGTACATTAAAAAACACGTTTTTAGTAGTTCCTGAAAAATATGGCATCCTAACCTGGAGCAACTCAAATTGCATATATATTTTCGTGTAAATGCGACAATTTCGCGATTTAACATTAATCAATGCATGGCAAATCCAGAAACGATAGCTTGATACTAAAAATCATGTATGAATAATGAAAAATAATGTGATACTGTACATTGATGTGAGACTAAATAAAATGCAGATTCAAAACAAAAAAACAAAACTTTTCTTTGATAGATTCAGACTGTGTTAAAAATTCATTACATTTCCCTTGCAATTTTCATTAGCTAGTATCACAATATATTTTGTTACGTCTTAAATACAATAATTATGTGGTAAAAAAATGACAAGTGCATCTTTTAAAGCCTTGTTCAGCAAATTGTGTTGCAACTTGCAAGTATATGGGACACCTGCTATTTTCTATCATTTGAAGGAAACGCAAAAGACAATACAAAGTGAGTCAGACCCTACCTCTTGGAAAAATGCATCCATAAATCCATCTCTGCCTTCGACGTTAACAGCAACGTCGTCAGGGCCGACATCGTCATCGTCACTTTGGGCCTGCAAATAGGAAAAACAATGTGTAGGGGGCCCTTAGGCTTTTAATACCAAGGGGTGGGGCTAATTTTGACGTTTCACATAGATTATTTTTTACCTAACCTAATTATTCAATTTGACAATAGTAGGCCTAGCAACAGTTTAGAAAACAATTCAAATAGTAACCGGATAACCTAAGATTTGCAGATATCCAGCTGTCACTTGCTTCAAACAGCAACAACAGCCAATTTTATCCATGGGATCACAGAATTTTACGAAAAAATGATTACCCTACCTCAGTGTGTCATAGAATGAATTGAAACTTACTGCAACGAGTGCTGCTAATCTATCCTTTGTCATCTTGACCACTTAGTTTTAATCACACACCACTTAAAAGAGTATCTGCACGGAATAATCCCATTCAAATATGTTGAATTAGACACCAACTAGACCGAACACCCGACAAAACTTGAAGGAAGAACAACCAGTCCTTCACACATCAAAAATCGATAGAGTTCTGCAGTGCCGTCACTTAAATGCGCATGTGCTCTCTGAGCCTGTGACGTCCCGTTTTTATCGTGACGTCATCTGACAATTTTCGAAATGAATGTCATTTTATTCAAATTCTTATGAACAACTCCGTATTTCCGCTATCCTGGCATCTTTTGCGGAATTTCTCAGGTATATTACGTTCCTTGTTTTGAATAAGTTCCTTGATTTGGTAACGTACCAAAAGGCGCCAAGTTCCAAGATCACCTTTCTTTTGCAGCAATGTTGCCAGATGTCTTTTTATTATGGGATTCTGAAACGATTGAAAATCAAAAAAGTTTATAGTGATGGGAAGGAAACAGACTACTATAACATTACCAAATTAATCAGCACCAGCCCAATTTCCATATATGCCTTGAGAACCCTTTGGTCGTTGAAAACACTTACGGGAAACAGAGATGTATAAGAGAAACATAATATTGTACATACCTAGGTAGGTAGGTAAGTAGGTATCTAGGCAGTGATAAAATATCTTTTTTTGTGAGCAACCGTTTGAAATTACCATGTGGTAAATTAAACTAATACATCAAAATGTCTGAACCCAAAGAGTACCTATCCTACGTTATTTAGAACGGAATCTTTTAGACACGTCGACAGGTGACACGTGATAAATTAACTTATAAGTGAGGGTATCTATTTTAATGTGGATATTAGATATTCCTTTATTATTGCTAATCAATTTTAATTTCTTAGCAAAATTCACTGGTTGGCAGAAATATTACAAATTAACACCTCAGTTCTAATAGTATTGTGTAAAGCACATAAATAAAATAAGCTAGCTTAAAACAGCAACTAGAACAGGACAAAGTAAGTAGAGAGAGGGACTCCGTGATTATGGAAATAATAAGACGTCCGCAAACATTTTAACAATTGTGGAATAGGCGAGTTTATCTTCATAAATAAACCCCTATAGCATCTATTACACAGGGCGAGATTAGTAGTTACTCGTCAGCGAATTTACTCGCTGCTATAAAAGTCGTCAAATGTAATCGCAGCTGCTAGTAAACTCGCGGCTCGCTTTTTCCCAGCGAGTAAAGTTGAACACCGGCCTACTTTTCTCGCTGCTCGCTCGCAATTTTTCTCTCTGACGAGTGAAAACGCTATGTGTAATAAGCTAAAGCCCGACTAGTTGGATAAAATGGCCGATATAGTGCGTGTAGGAATTGTTTTTGTCAGCCTTTTAATTCGGAAAAAACTTCAAGAACGGTTAAACCAGAAAAAAAGGAAAGCGAGACGGATGTGGGTCAGGAATTGGATTTCAGAACGGGACACACATGGGGCTAATATTTTATTAAGACAATCAAAGGATGAAGATCCTGTGGCATATAGGAATGTTTTGAGAATGAGCAATGAACAGTTTAATGTACTATTACAAATGGTTGACGAAACAATCCGCAAAAAAGGCACAAAAATGAGGATGGCGATTCCAACTGCTACAAAACTAGAAATAACCCTACGCTATTTGGCAACTGGTGATTCGTTCAAATCACTAGAATATTTATTTCGAGTGCCTGAATGTACAATTTCATTGTTTGTACCCGAAGTAGGTACTTGCAGCAATTTGTCAGGTCCTAAAGCCATATATAAAGGTAGGTTTAATTTAAGTATCAATTTATTTTTAACACAGTACTTATACCTATAAAACAAAATATTTTTATAATTATATGAAAAATAGAATCTATTTCTTTGAGAAACTTCTACTATTTCAAACTCTGCCCTATGGTGGAAACTAGTCAATGGTGAAAACATTAACAATCGTAGCTTGGCAACACCGCCTTACTCTTTGCGAACGCCATTGTGAACTTTACGTGCTTGTGACTCAAGTAAAAGTAATCTCTGAATTTTTATACCATCGGTGCTTCTAAACAGGTATTTATATTGTAGCAAATACTATTTTATATGTACTTTCCATATGTGTGCTTATTTTTTCGGTTACGTTCTTATTTAAATAGATCTCGGGGAACGAAGTCGGTAAGCCGATACCAAATTCCTGTGTAACCGTCGTAGAGCGCCATTTCCCACTAAAATCAAAAATATTCGAAACGTACACACTTGATTGTCAGTTTTGATTTTGATTACAAATTTAAATGTCCTTGTTGTTAAAAATTTTGATAAAAAGTACTCCAAAAGCGTCATATAGCGAATCCCAAAATATAACCTCCAGAAAATTCCACTAACGACATTTTTTTGAATTGTAGGTACCTTGAACCATGGCAGCAGAACAAGAAATGCCCACATTCAAATGTGTTTTGGTAGGTGACGGTGGTACTGGAAAAACAACATTCGTGAAGCGGCATTTGACTGGTGAATTCGAAAAGAAATACGTCGCTACTTTGGGTGTGGAGGTACATCCCCTAGTATTCCACACGAATAGGGGCCCCATCCGTTTCAATGTATGGGATACTGCAGGTCAAGAGAAATTCGGAGGACTTCGCGATGGATACTACATTCAGGGGCAATGTGCGATCATCATGTTCGATGTTACCTCAAGAGTCACCTACAAAAATGTACCCAACTGGCACAGAGATCTTGTCAGGGTCTGTGAAAATATACCAATTGTACTTTGTGGTAACAAAGTAGACATTAAGGATAGGAAAGTTAAAGCTAAGAGTATTGTGTTCCATAGGAAGAAGAACCTACAGGTAAGCATTTTATAATTTTTAAGGTTAGAGTTAATTTTTTAATGCATATCTGATGATCTATTTGTTTATAAATATATGTGACATCATTATTATCTATGGGATGTGATTATTAAAGAAATATGAGCCAATTCTCTAGCTAAGCTACCAGCCGTTTTTAATGAAAAAATTATTTCAAACTAGTTTTTGGATGTGGATGAAAGAAATGGGACTGAAAATAAGAGCAAACATGAAAGTTCTGAAATATTTTACTTTATAATAGGTTTTTATTGAATGTTTGTTTTCAAAGTCTGTACAATGTAGCCGGATTTCAGTATAGGTTTTCATGTTGATGGTTATTCTTAATAATTAAATTTGTATGTATGACTTTGAACTCCACAACTCCATGTAACATCTAAAGCTAAAGTCACCAACTTCTAGACTAAGGCCCGTATCGTCAGTCGTTCCTATAACTGTAGGGCACATTTATGACCTCCTTGATTGTCATAGTTTTTTACTCTTCCATGTCAGCGCTCTATTTTGAGGTTATGTCACAAATGTTTATTTGCATCAAATTCTGCATGCTTTTGATTCATATCATGTTTTATCAGCCTGAAATTTCCTACAATTTAATAAGAAAACATATCTTCACAATATGAGAATGCTCATGCTGACACAGAACAGGTGCAATCTAGAAATTTTTGAAGGAGGGAAAGGAGTATGACACTCAAGGAGGCCATAAACACGCCCTACAATTGTAGGAACGACTGACAATATGGGCCTTCAAAGAGAGCTGCTATTCATGGAAATGCAGATTTTCATTAATTTTCTTATATTTCTTGATTATGGCAAGGTTGCAGCACGTATAGGATACATTCCCTTCTGCAAATGTCATGATTAAGGTGTTCATACCTTTTAAAGCCCAGAGAATATCAACAATATTCTCCAACTAACCCATTTGTGGGCATTTATAATCTCATTGCTATCATTCACAACCCAAACCTAGTGTCTGTTTGGAAGGAGAAACAAAAATTGCTGGTGTAGCTAAGCTAGACAAATACCAAATATATGATCATGCATTGAGCTGTTTTTATGCTGAGGCTTTTGCACATCATTGGGGTCAACTTCAGAAACTTGTATGTAGACAATTTTTAACAACATAAAATATCTATCTTACAATAGGTCAAACTGAACCAAATATAAGAAATTCTTAATTGCACATATTAGAGCTAGGTTACACTCTAGCATAGGGTAATATAACTTTTAGAGAATGTCTTGAGAAACCACTTTGTTAATTTATGACTGCTATTATCCAACTGCAATAAATATCACATATTACAAAATCTGATCAAAGTTAATTTACTATTTATTGGCAATTTTTAGAGAAAGTGTTTTGTATTTCTAAATATTTTATAATGGAACTTTTTTCATTACTGGATTCATTTGTGTTGTTCAGGGCTCATTCTGAAACCATTCTGATTCTGCCAGTAGCCAATTACAAAACAGTTTTACTATGAGAACTTACTGCGCATAATCAGAATTGTTCTAGCATAGTTCTATGTAGAGCGACTTTATGGCATAGTATCCTTTTATAAAGAAGCAATATGGAATATTTTTTATATGTTAAGTTGTCCTTATGATACTTTTCCATTTTAAATCTAAGAATTCTCATATTGGTAAATCAAGCAATATTATTCAGCTTGACATTTTTTGTTGTTACAGTATTATGACATCTCAGCCAAATCCAACTACAACTTTGAGAAACCCTTCCTGTGGCTGGCTAGGAAGCTGATTGGAGATCCTAACTTAGAATTTGTTGCCATGCCTGCTCTTGTCCCACCAGAAGTACAGATGGACCCACAATGGCAGCAACAAATTGAGACCGAGCTCAAGAAAGCCCAAGAGACTGCTCTACCCGAGGATGATGAGGACTTCTAATCCTGTTGTTAATATAATGTAACAGTTAATTTCACTAAGACCTTAGACTATAGAAAAAGGAGGCTGAGTTTATGCATCCTAAAAAATTCTGCGGTTGCTTAATCAAACCATTATAAAATTGATGTACTGTAGACAGGAAAATAGCTAAGAATGAAATTATTGGACAGATGTAAGGCAATTGCAGTAAAGCATATTTACTTATCCTTTGTTTTTGCTTCCTAACATTATTAAAAGATGATCCCATTATAACTTTTATATATTGATACAATCTGAAATTGAAAGAAACCACTTTGGAAATTTTTTGTCTTAAATCTGCAACTTTTTCTATGGTCCAAGATTGAGACTATTAAGTTGAATTGGATTGTGAAAATCCGGTGACCCTACTGCGATATTTTTATATATAAATAAAGTATGTTGTCAAATTTTGGGATGATTCCAACTGAATTAGCATGATTGCGAAAGGGTTGATCTGAAAAAAATGTGCTCTTAACCTGAGGAAGCTGTATCTTCTCCATCTTTTAGGGTTTTAAAATGAATGTATTAGTATGCATCAAACGTGTGAACATAGAAAACTATTATTTTAATTACTTGATATGTGTAACTCTCTTTCCCGACATTTGGCTTTCTAGGGTTAAGGATATTTAATTTTTTGTACCTACTTTCTGTTTGGTTTGTAACGTCAAATGAACAATATTTATCAATAAACTTTTTAACATCGTTTTTTGTTTTACTTTCGCATTTAGTAAAATTGGCGATGCTTTTTGTCCAGTGGGAAAGTCACTTTTTGATATAAGAAAAAAAAATACAAACTTAAATTCGGCGGGGTTTATTTCTTAAATATTATCCCGTCCAAATGTTAGCCATACCTTCGGATTCACTATTCTAATCGCGGAGTGGTTTATTTCTCGTCGAAGGTTGTCTTCAAACTCCAGTGTTCGTGGATTATTGGAATACACTTTTGGCTTAAGATAACCCCACAAAAAATAATCGCATGGCGTGAGGTTGGGTGACCTAGGAGGTCAATGAATATTTCCAAATTTCGAGATCACTTTTTGAGTAAAAAGTGCTTTCACCGTGTCCATCGATTCTCTGGAAGTGTGGGCAGTGCTCCCATCCTGTTGAAACCATGTGTTTCTGTTAAATCGACGTTCTATTCTTACAATGTCCTTGTATCGCTCGGAATTGACTAAATGCTTGACCGTGTCCATTTTCAAATACGGCCCAATAATACTGCTAAGTGGCTAGAGGATATGGCGCACCAGTCACCTCTGGACTGTAGCTGTTATTTATGTTTCTCTTTTGGGTTCGTTGGTGCCCAATATCTGCAATTTTTCTTGTTCGCATAACCGTCCAAGTGAAAATGGGCGTATGAATCACCACTCTTATAGTAAGCCTCGATAGAGAAACACAGTTGCGTTCCGGTCCAACGTTCCATGGTGACTGTTTAACCCGAACGCGTCGATCAAGACCTCTCCCCACTTCCTCGCGTATACGGCTGCAACGTAATTCAAATTTGAAATGTGAACTCTCCCACTGGACATCCTGTATATAAAATTGATATATTGTTTTCTTTTAATAAACATAGTGTTTAGGCAGTTTTCAATATTAGCCTCTCACAATGTTTGAAATTTGGTCACGATGTAGAATTAGATGTTTCTCGGACTTACATTGTCTATGGGGTGTTTTGATTCACGACGTTCGACTGATATGATGTTCAATTGTCATCGGTTCAGGTTGGTTGCAGTTGCTCTTACAATTGAAGACATAAGTGGATAAAGGTGTCGTGTAACAAAGTCATTGTATGAAGAGAATTGACTTTAAACATTTTTTATTGGAACGTTTTGCGTTGCTTATTGACATTTTAAATATTAGTTTAATTAGTTTATTATTATCCTGTTTTTGCAACAAAGTCATCACATAATAAAAGATTCACTCTTTAAGGCTAGTTTAATGCAAAAAAGCAATTTTAAAAAAATGTTACATGACACCTTTATCCACTTGTCTTCAATTGGTTACGTTGCTGAAATTTCCACACTGTAAACATGTTCATTCATCATCATGAATTGAAGCCTTGGATGAAAAAAGGTGTTAACTCAGATTTTATAGTTTGGAGATAATTGGCCTCAAAGTTTAAAATCCTGACAATTTGTATTGAATAGTGTTAGGGCTGCTTTTATTATTGAAGGTTATTTCAGACACATATAAAAGTATCTCGAATCGACAATTTTGTTAGAAAAATTGCTTTTATTATAAGAAATTTGAAAAAGATTGTTGAAAATCTGACTTGACCGCTTTTTTAAAGAACTGTTATTTGCTTGGTCCAGAAAACGAAAGTAGCAGAAAGGTGTTAATTCAATGATGTTATATATTATAAGTAAACCTTGTCCTTTTTTCTCATTACAAAGTCACAAAAGTAATACCATGTAATCCACACACTGTAACTAATCATCTCCTCTCCTTAAATTCTGATGGTATTAAAGGAATGTGTTCCTGAATATTATCAAACTTTTTGCCCCAATAGGTCAGCTTCTATCGACATTCAATAATAATGGTTTATTTTCTGCTCTTCTATCGAGATTTCGCTGTTTTCTTATATCAAGAATAGTCCAATTTTCCGTTTCATTAAGAGTATCTGTACTTGGTTACACCAAATTCTTCAGTGTCAACAAATTTGTGCGCCATTCTTTGTGGTATTAAAAGGTTTTTTCCTGGCTTCTGCCATGATTGAAATATATTGATCCTCCATAGAAATTAGTTGGTGCTTTCTGATAGACTTTTCTACAGCCACGAAGTCTCTATCTACGAGCATGAAGGTATGTCCTACTCTAGGGAGCCTATAGTCATTTTTTTTTAACAGTCCAGCGATTATTAGGTACTGCCAAAGGCAGACAATATAATTTTTTTTATTTTGGCCACCTGCCGAATCACTCCATGCAATCAGATGATCGGAAGCATCGACTTCAAAACAAGGCCAATGGAGCACGTTAATTTCAAGTAAAGACTTTTGAATGTGGACAATAGTTAGGTAAATCCACATACTAAATTTTAGTCCATTCCAGTTGACGGTATTGAAGATATTAAAAACATTTTTTTTTTTTAGTTATACTTCAACTCCCCTTATCTTAGCGTAGGTAAAGATTTTTTCATTATGGCCTCACAGCTTCACATTCCCAAAGAAAAAAAAAAACGCCAAGAATTACTAGGATGACAGGAAAGCAATGAAAGATGGAAAACTTTTCAAATGCGATCATTTTTAGTATGATATTTTATTCCGCTTTCCTTTTCATATTCAGGCATAGTGGGCCATGTAAGAAAAAACGCATAAATATGGATATATCTAAAAAGGGGTCGTTGTTAAAATATGTTTCAGCTTCAGTAGAAATCATTTTATTAAAACAAAATGCAATAAAATCGACATAACTATCCTTAACAGTATACAATATATTAACCTACTAATTACACTTTATCAATTTTATCATGTTTCAAATAAACTAAACCATGCGGTCAAATGATCAAAACAAAGTTGTTGAATATTTTGCCTTTATTATAGATCATAATTTTTGCAACCAAAGAACTGCTAAACATGGTAATGCCTATTGATTTTACAGCTTGATGAATGCATAGGTGTATAACACATTTTTAGTATGGAACTTAGAGAATAGCCGAAAATTATAACTGAATAAGTGAATAAATCCTATTCCTAAATTTACTTCGCTGCAGCCTTCTTTTCTCTAGCTTTCTTTCCTTCAGTCAAATCTATCCTGTCCTGTTCAGACAGCATTGGTAATGTCTTAGAAACAACACCAGTACCAAGTGTCTGTGCGCCATCTCTGAGTGTGAATCGTTGACCTTCTTCTAGTACCATTGGTCTCAACATTTTCAAAATCAACCTGAAATGGAAAGAAGTTAACGATTTCAGGGATGTTGGCGGCCCAAAGCATGAATTTAAATGAGACAAGTGAGATTTTCAAAAAAGTAGTGAGAAAATAGTGAGTTTATACATAAAAAAGTGAGTTTTATTACTGAGAAATTAATGCCAGATTTAAACAGATAATATAAATAAGAGTGTGTGAAAAAAACCAAAATACCTCTTATAAGGTCTTTGTTACTGTTTTATTGGCACAGGCAAAAATAATTATGTATATGTATGCATATTTTAAGATCAAATGCATATAATGCATAAAAGAATCATGAAACATATAACAAATTCTTGTAAATACGGGAGACGTATCTATCAATTATTCGTGTCCAATTGATAAGTTGAAATTTGATATTATAGATGAGTATTTTTTTACACAATAGTTGGCTAACTTAATCGTCAGATCATCAGACTATAGTGCTTGTCGTTGTAATCAAGCAAGGCTCTATTTGATGGGTTCCCAAGGCCACTTCCTGGCTTTATCACCAGATCATCTCCATGTCATAATTATATTGTAACGTCAATTGTCATATTGAACGTCTGCCGGATTGGATTAGAATGACGTCACTTTACATATTGTGTTTCTTTCATCATTCCCTTCCCCTTAATATCATTAATATAGGGGCGACTACGGAAATTATAAATCGATGTTTTTTTTATACTCCAGCTACCACGAAGGCCTAAGGCCTGTACACCCATTGGGTACCGTGGGGCTATAGGGGGATACAGGGGAAAGGGGGGGGGGACGCCACACGGACTCTGGCGAGGGAACACGTGTGCATGCAACATGCACACATTATGGCTCCGCCTACGAGAACCGCCGGGTGGTACCTCCGCGTTCGACAGTCAGAGACCATCTACCACCTACGGCGGCCGCCGGCATATTGGATCTGTCACGTTGCTTACTGTACCTCTCACTAAGCCCTTTTATCTGATGACCATATAGAGGTGATTATGGATATTATAAATCGCTAAATTGCGAGCTCATTCATATTGGATTTAAAATGACGTCAGTTTGCTTATTGTGTTTCTCTCATCAAGTTCTTTCATTTGATACCCATATCACATACTATGGAAATGATAAATCGCCATTATGTACCATACGCCATATTAGAATCAAAATGGTGGCAGTTAATTCATTATGTATACGAATCACATGAACCAGACTGGCATACAAAGTCCCAGCCCAAATTCAGCCAGGAGAAAATGAAAACGATTCAGGGAGAATTCGTATCTTCTGTTACTTCAAAAATACTCCAAATTGCCAAACTATCTAAGCAACATTTTATTAGTTACCTAAATGCGCAACTTTGCCTTTATAAACGACATTGTATTCTTACCTACCGTTTCCGAATTTAAAATCCCCAGTGCATATATATATATATATATATATATACTATTTTCTACATAAACTCTCTCTCTATATATATATATATATACTATTTTCTACATAAACTCTCGATTGTCTTTTCAATTAAACAAAATTTATAGATTTGATTGCAACTGGTATATTATTAAAACATATATAATATGGAGGAACAGTAGTTAAAGTGAGGCATCACTATTGTTTTAGATATAAATAGTGACGTCCATGAGCTAATGTCCTTTGTTACCCCACAAATTAACTTAACTGTTTTAGAAACTTTTTTTATAATATAATCCGTATGGCAATTATATGTTAAATTTGAGTCTATCATAACTCCTAAATATTTATACTTGTTAATCTGTTCAATCTAATTATTTGCAATTATAAAGCCATTGTGCAGATATCCTCAGTATCCTAAGTATCAGTATCGTGCACTTGATCCTGTCAACATTAATACAGGTACTAAGAATATTGTTCCCTAACCACGCATATAATGTCTTTAAGTCTTCTTTAATCATTTCAACCAAAATGTCTATGTTGTCACATTCCATGAACAAAATTGTATCATCTGCAAACAACTGAATTTTCCAATTTCTCATAGCTTTTACAATTACATTTATATACAGCACAAATAAATCAGGACCCAACACTGTTCCCTCACGCACACCATGTCTATTTTCTCTTACTGAGGATAAAGGGCCTTTGTACTTTGTTTGCCGAGTTTTTTGTTCCAAGTATCCTGAGAACCATCTTAAAATGATGCCTTCAAAGTAATATTTTTCCAAGTTTTTTATCAACAGATTTCTATTTATAATATCGAATGCTCTCCTAAAGTCAAGAAACACGGCACCCACAAAATGACCCACACTCAAAACATTTTTCCATCCTGACATAACAGACTGAAGCGCACTCTCACATGAATGATCCTTCCTAAAACTCCCTTGGTATTTTGTAAGTAATTTATTTTCCTCTACGTATTGACGTAATTGTTGAATGACAACAGTTTCTAGAAGTTCTTCGTATACAGGTACCATATTAATTGGTCTATGCTCTTCACATTTTGTGTATTATATTATATTATTATACAGGGTGATTCACAAGTCGTGACAAATTTTCAAAAAGACCACCATTCTGACGGCTACAAGTGTGGCATAAAAAAATAGTAGTAGTAACGATAACAACCGCAGAAACACATAACTTTGACAAACGTCAAGTTGGTATCAAGGCCCCCTATCTTATTTTGAAACCAATTGTATCTAGGCTCTTCATGAATGATCTAATTTGTTTTATTTTTGATTTTTACGAAAACAGTGCACTCTAGGAAAAAAACACAAGAGTAATTACTTGTAGCAAATTGAAGGTATGGGGTTGTCCAAAACGGACGCAGGAAAGTAAACGCATATTAAAACAAGAAAGATTGATATTCAAATCAAGTTGGGTACTTTATTTTGAAGGTTCATTTATACCATTTATGTATGAAAAATAATATCGCTCAAATGTTCACCACGGCTGGATTTACAGACGTCCAGGCGATGGTCGAAATTTTCAATGACATTTTGCAACATGGTCGGTTCTATGGCATTTATCTCGGCAATGATGTTGTTTTTGAGTTCTTGGAGGGTGGCTGGTTTGTTGACGTAGACTTTGCTTTTCAAATATCCCCATAAAAAGAAGTCCAAGGGAGTCAAATCGCACGATCTTGGTGGCCATGGCACATTTCCTCTGCGCGAAATCACGCGATCACCGAAGAAGGACTGCAATCGATGGATATTGACGTTGGTTGTGTGGCATGTTGCACCGTCTTGTTGGAAATAAACATCGTCCATATCCATTCCTTCAAGTTGCGGCAAAAAATAGTCCTCTATCATCACGTGGTATCGCTCAGAATTGACGGTAACGGCGTCCTCGGCCGCATTTTCGAAAAAGTAAGGTCCGATGATGCCTTTTAACCACAATGCACACCACACAGTCACTTTTTGAGGATGCATCGGCTGCTCTTGATACTCACGGGGATTTTCGTTCGCCCAGATGCGGCAGTTTTGCTTGTTCACCGTCCCATTCAAAGTGAAATGCGCTTCGTCGCTGAACATCCAAATCCTTGTGGAGAATGGAAACTGGTTCTCGAAATGCCCAATTCTTGGAATCGACGCGTTGTTGATTGTTTCGGATCGTCTCTCACACTCTCCTTCACAACAGCAATATTTTCCGGTGTGAGAACGTTCCTTGGCCGGCCAGAGCCTGGCAGATTTGCCACAGAACCTGTTGCCTCGAATTTGCGCACCAGACGACCGATGGTAGTTTCGTTTGGGCGGTTGTTGCGACCGAAATGTTCACGAAGCGCGCGACACGTGTTTTTTATTTTTGCACCATTTTTGTAGTGCTCTTGAATAACTTTAATGAGGTCTTCAATCGAATACGACTCCATAGCGATCAATGGTAAACATTCAACTAACAAAATGACATGTCGGTGACAGAAAACAAAGATGGCGTCTCTGTCAAATTGACGTTTACTTTCCTGCGTCCCTATTGGACAATATAATTCGAAAAATTGCGCGTTTCGAAAAAAAAAACAGTGGCATACTATTGTTATTTCGTAAAATAATGCCACTAATCTCCTGTATCTCCGCCACTATAATTATAGTCAGCGTTAGTTGTAAGTAAAGACTTTTGAATGTGGAGAATACTTAAGTAAATCGACATACCAAATTTTAGTTCATTCCGGTTGACGGTTTTGAAGATATTAAAAAAAATGTTTTTTATTTTTAAATGTATCTATTTAATGAAGCCCTCGAGGAAAAAATGTTACATCGAAGATACCCCTTAAAATGCGGTCCTGTGTATGATGTTTCATTTTTGGTCATGACTTGTGAATTACCCTGTATATACTTTTCTATAGGGATAACTGTTGACATTTTCCAACCATGGGAAAAACATTCTGTTTTCATACTGGAGAAAGCAATTGCATATGACTTTAAAAGCCAATTTCAAGATTTTGGTATTAATTCTGTCAACACTACTATTTTTACTTTTTAACCCAGATGTGCCCAATGGCCTATATGTAGTACATCTCAAACTTGTCAATTTTTGTCAGAAGGGGTCTGTGAAAACATATTAATTCATTCGTTTCGTTTAGTATAACGTTGTTCGGCTTAGGGTGCGGTTGTTAGATGTCGTTTTCTGACGGACTATTAGTGGACTTTGAAGTCCAAGTACTACATTTCGACGAAATTGATGAATACGGCATCAGGTTTGCAAGGTAAGCTGTATTTTGATTATTTGCATTGAAGTGGATTCCATATAATGGAGCAAATTGCTACATATAAAGTCGACAGAACGAATACGAGCCCCTTCCCACTTCAGTTGGCCCAACTATTGAAATCTTAGTTTTTTTCTTATCAAACACAAATAATAAAAATGTACCAGGGTGTTATAGGTTTAAAATATTAACAATGAATATTTTGATAATATATAGTAGAAAACACCAACTTTATCACTCCCTAATCAAATTTGCAGCATAAAAATAACACATGTTGCAATTACAGCATATCAACCTATTTTCATTTCAATGCAAAATAAGTCTATAATGCATATGTGGCTGTGAAAAA